AGGGTGACGGGATGTTTTTCTAAGTCTTGGTTCTTCTCTTTGCATAGTTTAGGGTTGAAAACAAAGATCACTGAGGGCTGAGGAAGACAAAGGTGTTTAATTTCTTAATCATTAGTAGATAAGAAGGGACACAGGCACTTGCTGCAGGTGGGGACATTGAGGCCCAGCAGTGGGAAATGGTTCACAATTTTGAAATAACACCCGATTGGGGGTGCTAGCAACTCTGTGGCGGGTGATTCAGACAGAGCACCTCAGATCCTTTCCACTTTCTTAAAAGGAGTCCATGATAATCACCATTTTACAGATGAGAAAAATGTGGCTGAAAGAAATGAACAGATTGTCACCTCAGTCCCCACTGTGTCTCAGGGTATTGCCTGTGGCCCCCAAGCTTCATGTCCATCAAAAGAACAAAGGCCCCACCTTCACGGGTCTGACACTGACCACAGCTCTCCCCTTTTCCCTATTAGATTTTTGCCTTCAGGTAATTACAGTGAGAAGTCAGTTCGTGGTGACTCTGTGGCAATAATCAGAAGGCATGGGCACCTGCCAACTGGGTCTAGGAAATTACCCTTGCTCATTTGGGGCCCGGTATCCTCTAGGAAATGTCTCCCTCCTCATCCTCTCTACAGATCCGGGAATGGTGCACTCGGTGCTGCTGGGGGTGCAGTGGCCCCTCTCTGCTCTGTCCGGGCCACTGTCCCCAAGGTGCTTCCGCAGGCTGGTCGGTGAAGGAATAACCCCACAACAATGGGGGACAAGCCCCCTGAATGCTTCTCTATGCTGAGCCACGTCATTAGGAGCAGGGTCAGCACATCATGAGATATTTGGGTACCTTTCTGATCTGGGTTTAAAGCTAGACCTGCCTCTTTCACAGGACCTTTTTAAAAAAGTGCTTACTGTTGAAGAACAGAATAACACAAGATTTTAAAGAAGAGGGCTGGAGCTTTACTCTACACCTTGAAAAGCACAGTGGGGTGTTGCAGAGAGCAGAGGCTATTTATTCAGGCTGTTTGAGGTTCAAGTCTTGGTTCTACTTCCTGCTCAGGTGGTCCCCTCTCTGAGCAACGGTGTCCTCATCTGTCCAAGAGGCAACAGACGGCCCATCCCTCACAGCACTGGTTATAAAAATAAATACCACGATGAAGATATAGCTTCTGACACACTGCTGCTCCCCAACCCTCCCCGCTGCCTGCTTTCTCGTCCAGGGCGTCCTCTGAGCAGGCAGCTTGGGGAAGAGGAACGAGCGCTCTGCCAGGAGGCAGCAGACTGGGATGGAGCTGCTTACTACCTGTGATTGTTTAGGCAAGGGACACACCATTGGAAATTTTGTAATACCTGCAAATTCGGGATAAAGTCTCCTTCTCTGCTATTTCCAAGGGTTGTGGAGACTCCATTGCTACCACATGTAGGAGAAAAAATTGGCAATATTCACACAAATTAAAATGCATGTACCTTCTGGCATAGCAATGCCACTTCCAGTGGATGTCTCCCTCTTGAGCAAGTGACACGTTGACAAGGTTATCCCCTGCATCACTGTTTTAATAGCCAGAGGTGGGGAAGAACTTATATCCATCTACAGACTGTCAATGAACGACGCTGTCTCCATACCTGGAGAGCTGATATGGATTCTTGATTTGGGGTGATGAAGCTGAAGCTTGGGAGAGGTTCACAAACCTTGGCTGGGCCTGAGGGTCTAAATGGGAAGGGCATTTGAACCTTTGGGAAAATGATGAAAAGGGAGAAATATTGGCTTCATGTTCAATGTTTTGCTGCAATGAGCTTTATTTCAGAGCTTACATTCACCAGGTTCTTTGATGGAAAGGGGATCTATCTCTGGGAAAGGAAAAACCCGGCCTAGAATTAGATTGGGTTTTGGAACCATCTGTTCACTCACTGGCCATGTGATCTTGGGCAAAGCCCTTGTCACCTTTTGACCTCAGGCTTCCATTTATACATGGGGGTTGGGTTGGATGGTCTAAAGCTCCTTTGTGGGCTGACATTCCAGGATTCAGGATCCTGAGGGGCAGAAAACCCTAAATGAGTGCTTGTTGCCTCAGTCGGGTGACACCTACGTCACATACATGGGGTGCCTCTTCTGTGGCTGAGCGACATTCTGAGATGACTCAGCTCTGCTCAGAGGCTTCAGTGACAGCGTGACTGGGTCCCTGAAATAAAGGGGATTTATTAGACCAACCCCACAGTGAACGTCCACCGTCTGGGCACCCCCTCCCAGCAGGGCTGTTGGAGTAAACAGGGTCTATGCCTCTTACGGATTCCTTCTCATGTGATGATTCCAAGGAGAAAATAAAGAAACATGTTTTCCCCTCCCTGCTCTGCATGAATTTCTCCCAAAGGAAAGGAAGAGAACGGAGCTTCGTGGGAGAAGGGCCTTTCCCTGCTCAGTTCACGGCGGCTCCCACGGCACCCAGAGCAGGGCCTGGCTCACAGCAGGTGCTCAGCGACTGTCAGTAAGGGGTGGGGAGGGACTCGGCCACACTGAGAGGAGCTCTCTCTGCGCGGGCAGGGGTCAGGTCTGACCTTGTGACGGGCAAGTCACTCCGACCTTCAGCTTCTCATCTCTGGAACTACAGGGCTGGACAGGATTGGAAAAGACAAGCTAGGGAGCCAGGCAAACCGGGCTCCAGACACTTCCCACCATTTACCAGCCGTGTGGCCTGAGCAGACAGCATGAGCTCTCCAGGCCTCACTTCCCTGACCTGCAGAAGGGGTCAAATCAACCAGGAATGAGATCATGATTATTAGCACCCACCCCCACACCTCATTCCTAGTTGTTGCTCAAAATGTGGAAGTTGTTATTATGGACTTGCTGTCACACACCAGGGAAAAGGATCCTACTCTGTACTCACCACTCATGGTGAGCTGAGTGCCTGCCCCAGACTTGAACTCTGTGTTGCCAGTGTCCTCTTTGCAGAACTTCACACAGTAGTAGGTCCCGGCGTCTGCTGGGGAGATGTTACTGATGCGGAGGGAAAAGTCCGTGTTGTCTTTCCTTGTGGTGTCTGCAACGGTTGTTACTTGGGGGATGTGGCCTCCTTAGCAACTGTAGATTAACTTCCGGCCTGGCCCTGTCCCTCGGAACCACTGTGTGGGCCCCACGGGGATAGCAGAGGTCACGGTGCAGCTCAGGGTGGCCGTCTCTCCGGCTACCACCGACACTGACTCGTCAGGCTGAATCACCTGCAGCTCCTCACCTGCCCCTCTTGCAGGAAAGCACAAAGCAGTGGTTTATTCTTCCCTGTGTGACCCTGTAGGTTTTGTGAGGTCTTTATCAACAACAGCTTTTACTGAGTGCACACCCTGAATGTGCGTCAGCTCAGCACAGTGCCTGCGTCACACATGGAACGCTCACAGCAAGCTGGTCATGTCATATGCTATTACAAATGAGGACATAGAGGTACATAGAAGTAAACTGTTGTGATGGAGAGGAGGTTTAAGTTTTCCTGCCAAGCGGGTCTGCTCGGTGCCACAATTGGAGGGCGTGCACTTGGCCTTGTCCTGGGCCGCTCGGCTGCCCAGCTGAGCCGCGTGGCTGCTGGTGTGACCGATTCAGCCTGAGAAGAAGGAGCGCGTCAGCCAGTCTGTCTGTGCCCAGGACCATAGGCAGCCAAGGCTGGTCTTCTGATGATGAGGAGATTAGTTGCAGAGAATTTGAATGTCTCTTAGAATAATTGTTTGCATAGAACTGCAAAAGTGAAAGCAGTTCTTACAAAAGATTCCGTACACCTTTACCTCAATTTCAGCTGCAACATCTCTCATTGAAGGGGCTGTGCTGCCCTCGCTGCTGAACCTGAGCTACAAGTTCGAACTGACACAGTGGACACTAGTTTTCCAGGCTGTGGTTCAATTTGGGAATGCCTTCATAGTATGAACAGAAAGTTTACCCACCAAGAATGGAAGACAATCAGAAGCTTTGAAGACGAGGGCACTCGGCGGCTATATGTTACCAGAATTGGGCACCAAAAGAAGCCCTCACGAACGTCATAGGTGTGGGACTAGGATTTGATGGCAATGGCTTGATCCGCTACGTCCCCATGAAACCCGCATCTAGGGCAGGTTTATAAGGGAAACACATTTGTTTCCGGGTGAAGAGAAGAAAAAAAAGAATGGTCGTTTGAGGAACACAAAATAGAGGAGCAGCAGTTTGCTGCAGTGGCTCTGAGCAAACCTGATGGCTGTAGACACCAGGATGTTTGGTCTGCAGATGAGTCTCAACCCTCCCAGACAGTTTACTGTTCTGACCTACAAGGACTTACACCGTCTGCTGTTCCTATGGCCCCTGAAGAGCCCTCATTTGGGGACTGTTTTTGCCACGCAGAAAAAATCCTGATACAAAATGGTACAAAGTCATGATATGATAAGAAAGGGAAATGAAACCTTTTGTGATATTCTATATGCACTAAACAGTTTGTAAAAGAAAAGCACAACTTTTCCAATTAAAAGACCATACACACCCACTAGAGGTAGCTTTCTAGATTGCACATTTACCTTTTCTTCCCCTTCAGTTTGCAGTGAATTGACAGAAGAAATCGAAAAGTGTGGCACAATCTTTTTTTCTTTTGTATTATTTTTTCATGCCATCTTCCTCTGACAAATTGTTTATATTTTTGAGTGCATGATGTTGTGATTTAGGTAAGAAATATATATTTTGTGGTAGTATTTTTCTAGCTCCAGGTTACTAAAACCCTTGGAATTCCCCAAGTGATTAGAGCATCTTTTGTTACTTCTTTTTTTATTGTTGTTCAATGACAGCCGTCCCTATTCCCCCCGTTACCCTCCTCCTGCCCTACCCACCCCACCTCCCACATTCAGTCCTCCCTCCACCCGTCGTCTAAGTCCACAGGTCGTTTCTACATGTTCTTGATGACCGTTCCCCTTCTTTATCCAGTTATCCACCCGCCCCCTCTCCTCTGGTGACTGTCACTTTGTTCTTTATGTCCCTGTCTCTGGTTCTATTTTGCTCGCTCCTTTGTTTAGTTGATAAAAACATGGAACGCTTCATGAATACGCATGTCATGCTTGCGCAGGGGCCATGCTAACCTTCTCTGTACTGTCCCAGTTTTAGCTTCTGTGCTGCTGAAGTGAGCACGTGTGGCACAATCTTAAGTGACACAGGCATAATCGTTTTGTTGTACTTTGCTTTTGCGCTTCACAGGCGCTGCATTTTTTTGCAAATGGAAGGCAAGGAGGCCCTCCACCAGCAAGAAGATTATGTCGCCCTTTACTGTGGAGGTCTGGAGCTGAACCCGGACTATCTGTGCGGCCTGCCTGCACGTGCTTGGGGAAAAAACAGAAAATGCAAATACGCCATTGGGAGACATTTAAATTTCTGTGTTTCTGACATAACTATATCAGAGATAACTATTTCTCAAACCTTCTTCTTGGCAAATAAATCCATATTGGTTTTGAATCAAAAATGGGAACATACTGTTTTGTAATTTTTTTTCTTATCTGCACATTTCCTGTTCATAAATACTTCTGTGGCGTAACTTTCCCAGGCTCTAATGTATTCTATCGTATGCCTAATACCAGTTAGGATGCTTTTGACCAGAGGTAAGTGTCCAATATAATTGACTTAAGTCACCTAGGACATTTATTATGTCACACAACAGGCAGCTCAGAGGTGTCATTACAGGGACTGTTTTGCCTCAGTGCCAGTTTGTTTGGCCTTAGACTTGTCTCTTGGTCCTGAGAGCTGCTGCTATAACTTCAGCTTCATATCATCATAGAATTGGGACTAAAAGTCAGGAAAGGCTGTTTGTCCTCTCACATCTCAGTTCTGTCAGTGAGGAGTGCATTTCCCATGGGTCCCCAGAAGATTCTCCTCAGTTTTCCTGGATTCAGGTCAGCTCACTGAGAAATCAGTCAGTAGATTCTATGGGAAGTAGACGCTGGGGAAGGAAGAAGCTAATGGAGGGGGGAGAATGGCATCGAGGGGGAGCCCACGGCCTGCCTACAGGGACGTGTACCAGGATTTACTCACAAATGCCCTTTCTCAGACATTTTGATCATTACAGACTTCACTGTAAGCAGTGGTGCAGGGAAATCCTTGCAACCACTTTGAGGTAAATGTTTATGTCTTAGAGAAAGCTTCGGGAAGTGGAATAATTGGTTCAAAGGAATTAAACATTTTTAGAGTTTTGATAAGTATTGCCAAGAGGCTGTCCAAGTAGACTGGGCAACTTACCCTTCTGGTTTGTTCTATATGTGTGACCACCCTTTTTCCCGGCACCTGCATACTCCGTGGTAAACTGTAGAAAATATCTTTTAAAAAAAAAATTAATCTTTGACAATGTAAGTGAAAAATTGTACCTTAGCTTTTAAATTTTTATTTCTCCATGAGAAATAAGGTTGATATATCAGTGTTGTTATTGGCTGTTTGTATTCCTTCTTTTAACAAACTTGCTGTTCATTGCTTTTGGCTGTTACTATTTTAGTAAATAGGACCTAATTTAAAGTGGGAACATAATATATAAAAAGCCAAGTCCATCATATTGATGAAAGAATCTGTTATATGTTTGTAATGGACTTATTGGGGAGTTAGTCCTGTTATTGTTTAATGTGAAGAAGTGAAATAATTTGATATTTTTCCATCAGTAAATGGGATGTTGTGTGTAATTGTATAAGATTAGATCTTTGCTTAGTAAAGAAATTTGAATGACAACTTCTGGTCAAGATGGTGGCATAGGTAAACAGGAATTGGCTCCTTGCACAACCATATCAAAATTACAACTAAACTACAGAACAACCCTCTCAGCACATTCATAAATAGAGTTGACTAGAAGTTCAACAACTATGGAACTAAAGAAACCTCATCCATCCAGACTGGTAGGAGACGCAGGGACGCAGAACAGGCTCATCTCATACCCGTGGGTGATGGATAAAAATTCTAGGGGAGAGGGTGTGAAGAGTTGTGGTCTCAGTGGCGGTATAGGCAGGCGTGACTTCCCTCTTCACACAACCACATCAAAATTAAAAATAAAATATGGAACAACCATCACTCAGAACTGTCAGAAATTGACAGTTGAGCAGAAGTCCGACAACTACAGAATTAAAGAAACCACATCCATCCAGACTGGTAGGAGGGGAGCAGGTACAGAATGGACTGGTCCCTCACTCACATGTGGTGAATAACAAGTTGGGAGGGATATCTTGGGAGCGAGGAGTCCCAGCCCACCAGGCCTCCTATCCCAGGTTTCCAGTGACTGGAAGATAAGTCCTCACAATTTTCAGCTGTAAAAACCAGAGGGAATTGAGTCTGTGGGAAAAACTACTGGAGCCCCAAGCAGTTCCTCTTAAAGAACCCACACATGGACTGACCTACTCAGACTCACTCCCTCTGAGCTCTAGTACCAGGGTACCATCTTGAAAGGCACCCATGGCATATAGGGAGAGACTGAAGTGTTTGGTATCAAGCCAAGGAGAGGCCATTGTCCCTTTTCTACACCTTGTCACCACAGAGCTAGCAAGCTTGTGCCATGTCTGAGACTCCACCCCACCCGACTTACGGGCTTATCCAATCTGCTTTTCCATATGAATGACTGGTCTTGGCTCATGCTTCACAACTTCCTAAATCTACTCTAAGAAGCAACAGCTGGCCTCAGTGAGCCCCAGGCCTAGCACCAGCATCAGCCAGCCTAGATTCACATGTTGGCTTCATCTGCGAATCTCTAAGCCCACCACAAGTAATAGCATATCAGATTGCTTTATAGCACAGGCAGGGTGGCCCTGGCCCAAGAAACAGGTGGGGGCTGATGTTGGCCTGCACCACCAGGGAAACCCCAGGTCCAGTGCACCTAGTGCTTTGCTTCCTTGCACAACCAAAAAAAAAAGACAAAAACCAATTTAAAAACAAAAAACAATGGGAACGGCCAGAAAAATCAAGCTGTATGGAAGTCTGACAACCAAGAAATTATGTAAGAAATGTTCATTCAGACTGGTAGGAAGGGCAAAGATGGGCAGCTGGCATGGAGAGAATGTGCAGCAAGGCAGCTGCTTGTGGAATGAGCAGTCCTACATTCCTGTATGGACAAAATGGGAGGAACACCTGGGGAGTGAGACAAACCACAACCCAAGGTTCTGGTGCTGGAAAATAAAGCCTCAAAACCTCTGGCTGAAAAAACCTGTGGGAGTGGCAGCGGTGGAGAAACTCCCAGTCTCACAGAAGAGTTCATTGGAGGGGCCCAGGGGATCCTAGAATGTACATAAACCCACCTACCTGGAAATCCGAACCAGATAGGCTCAATTCACTTGAGTGTAGCAGGGGAAGTGACAGAAAGAGGGGTGAGAGCTTAACAAGCAATTTTGTTCCTCTCTGACTCCTTCTCCACATATAGCACCACAATGCAGCAAAGTGGGTTGCCCTGCCCTGGTGAATATCTAAGGCTTGGCACTTACTACATAACAAGTATGCTGTGACAAAGAAATGTGCCCCAGATGAAAGAACAGACCAAAACTCCAGAAACAGGACCGAGCAGCAAAGAGATACCCAACTTATCAGGTGCATAGTTCAAACACCAGTAATCAGGATGCTCACAGAAATGGTTGAGTATGGATGCTAAATAAAGGAATAGGTGAAGGCCATACAAAGTTAAATAAAGAAAAATATAAAGAGAACTAGCAGTGAAGTGGAGGAAATCAAGACTCAAATCAACAATTTGGAAAAGAAGGCAGAAACAAACATTCAACCAGAACAGAATGAATAAACAAGAATTCAAAAAGATGAGGCTTAGGAACCTCTGCAAAAACTTTAAATGTACCAACATCTGAATCACAGGGGTGCCAGAAGGAGAAGAGGAGGAGATTGAAAATTTATTTGAAAAAATGATGAAGGGAAACTTCCCCAATCTTGTGAAGGAAATAGACATGCAAGTCCAGGAAGCTCAGAGAGTCCCAAAGAGGTTGGATCCAAGGAGGAGCATACCAAGATACATCCTAATTAAATTACCCAAGATTAAAGATAACGAGAGAATCTCAAAAGCAACAAGAGAAGAGGAGAGAGTTACCTACAAAGAAGTTCCCATTCGACTACGAGCTAATTTCTCAAAGAAACCTTACAGGCATGAAGCGGCTGGCAAGAAGTATTCAAAGTCGTGAAAGGCAAGGACCTACATCCAAGATTCTTCTATCCAGCCAAGCTATCATTTAGAATGGAAGGGCAGAGAAAGTGCTTCCCAGACAAGGAAAAGTCAAAGGAGTTCATCATCACCGAGCTCTTCTTATATGAATTCTCAAAGGGCCTTATCTAAAAAAAAGAAGGCCAAAACTATGAACAGTAAAATGACAACAAACTCACAACTATCAACAACTGAACCTATAAAACAAAACAAAAACAAACTAAACAAACAACCAGAACAGGAACAGAATCACAGAAATGGAGATCACATGGAGGTTTATCCGTGGGGAGAGCGAGAGGGGAGAATGGGGGAAGATTACTGGGAATGAGAAGAAAAATTGGTAAGCACAAAACAGACAGACAGGGGGAGGTTAAGAATAGTATAGGAAATGGAGAAGCCAAAGAAATTATGTGTATGACCCATGGACATGAACTAAGAGGGGAATGCTGGAGGGAGGGGTGGTGCAGTGCAGCGGGGGATAGGGGCGAAAAAAATGGGAAAACTTTATACCATAATCAATAAAATATACTTAAAAAATAAAAAAGAACAAAAAAATATGAGGATAGCATAAGCAGTCTCTGGGACAATGTCACAAGGTCCAACATTTGCATCATAGGGGTGTTAGAAGGAGAAGGGAAAGAGAAGAATTTGGAAATCAATTTGGAAAAATAATGAGAGAAAACTTCCCTAATTTGGTGAAGGAAATAGACATGCAAATCCAGGAAAGCACAGAGAGTCCCAAACCAGATGGATGCAAAGAGGCCCACTCCAAGACACATCGTAATTAAAATGCCAAATGTTAGAGAGAGAATCTTATACACAGCAAGAGAAATGCAGAGAGTTCCCTGCAGGGGAGATCCCATAAGACTGTCAGCTGATTTCTCAAAAGAAACTCTACAGGCCAGGAGGGACTGACAAGAAGTATTCAAAGTGATGAAAAGCAAGGACCTACAACCTGGATTATTCTATCCAG